CGCCATGATTCACGATGGGAGCAAGGCCCAAAATTAGATTTAGACCGAACTGGGCTGAATCCTGACGAACTGCAATTTGGTACTGATGCAGAACTGCCTCCACACGCTCCGGGGGAAAACCAGATTTGACTACCGACGAGAGGATGTCTAGGCATGAGGTAGAAACCTTATCCAGGTCTTCCTTGCGAACACCCTGGAGACCGATGTGAAAACTGGTGGTACGAGAGTTTTTGTCCATTCCGGCGACCGGGCCAGCCCAGTCAAGGCCCAGACCAGACTCGATGAGGCCGCGGTAGAGTGGAGCGTTGTCACCGTCCATTAGTAGAGTGCAGGCGATAGAGAGTGCAAAATTCGTGTACACGTCCAGGATACTGGGTACATAAACACTTACTGTTAAAGTATCAGTAGGTATGTTTATTAAACCAACGAAATATATGCAAGTTAGCACCAAAGGCCAAGCAAGTGACAAGGATGTTGATAAGAAGAAAAAAATTAACATTTGGTGTTATCATCCGACTTAACCTACTTTAAGCAAAACGAAGTTCGCAACACAGCTGATTACTATAGGTTGTCATTATTATCACGAAATAACCTGACAGAACGCAATGAATCAATATAGGGGAGAGGACAAGGCTGTTCCACGACTTACTCGCACATAGCGAAGCTCACTGATGCGAAGCAGGTTCTGGTCGGATCTGGAGCCGTCGGATCTTCCTGACACATTAGCCGTACTGTTCGCTGAAAAAGACCAAAAGGCGTGAGAGTCATCAAAGCATAACAGGAAAGTTAATATATATAATTGACAACATCCATTGTAATGACATACTAAACAGACAACGCAAACCATTATTCTGCATTTTTATCCGACTGGCAGTTCAATTTCCAAAAATAGCTTGGATATTTGTCGCAAAACTTGATCGACTAGCTTGTGGGTGACTAGATTTAGTGGCGAAAGTAATACTTACCGGTTCCTTCCAATGTGGTTCAACAGGTACACTCGGGGACGGGTCTTTGGCGGTGAACGTGCCCAAGCATTCTGAGTCTAGGTATGCTAGAGAGTCTTCTAGCTTGACATTTCCATAGGTGAAGAGGCTGAAAGAGAGAGAGCTTGCATTAAGAATATGTGGTTGCATCTAGAGGCAGGATGCATGGAAAGAACCAGTCAAAGGCAAACGATGACGCAAAACTAACGCAGCTGAAAAAAAAGATTTGAGGAAACCAAAAGACGTGCTGAGAGAGAGAGAGATGGGGAAGAAGGGAAATTCCGTAGTACCTAATCCTAATAAGAAACAATTGGTTTCTCAGCGCAAGCTATAGTAAATATGGGCAGCCAGATTGTCCATAGGCAACTAGCTCGGTTCTCCGAGGCAAGACAAATTTTTCGGCTGCATTAGTTTTCCAAAAAAAATCGTTAGAAAGAGCTTTCTGCGTAGAAGGGAAATTGGGAAGACATTTCATTTGATAGAAGTTCCGTTTGGACTGGCCTCCTAAATCCCCAGAACTAAAAATTGATGCGGTTTTCTATTGGAATTTCCGCATGGTTACTGATCGTATGGAGGCATAAGTTGAATTTAGTTAAAAGCTAAAAAACCAACACGACACAAACTCCCTTGAGCGTTGGCATCGTCGTTTCGTTCAAAAAAAGGGATCCTTGTAACAGCAGTTGTGGATGCTCTGAAAATACGGAAGGAACTGACACCTTTTCAAGCAATACATTTGTTTCCCCCGAATAAATTTGAAGGGTTCATTGACAGCTTCTGACTCCTCCG